ATATTTTGAAAATATTACGAGGTAATTAAAATAAAAGTTAATAAAAACATGGCAATAATTATACTAAACATATTATGGCTAAGAATACACAAAAATTTGGAACAGAAAAAATGTTCACGTTTTATTTAAAGTCGTGCAAGATTATTATAGATTTTATTATAAGTTCTGCTAGAAACCGAAACTAATTATTTAATCCATTTATTATATGAAATAATAAATTTGTGAGAGAAAAAATTATGTCTGAAATATATTCATAAAATATCTAGGTAAATGATTATAAAAAATCATAAAATATCTGGGTAAAAATTATCTTTGAAATCGGAAATCTAATTTAATCCCAGCGTTAAACGCATCCTATTCGAACGTTCGAATCGCTTTCACCAGCAAATTGTTAGGTGAAAGCTTTCCGATAGATGGGAGGAAAAATGAAGATCGCAGCCCGTTAGCAAAATCCGTTCGAAAGCGCGAGGTTTCAGGTTTTCCCTAGGAGTAGAAACGTGACGTCAAAATGACGTCATTTTTCTCTTCCTAGCTCGTTCGAAGTCTGCGAGGTTTGAGCTCCTGCCATTTCCGTATTACTTTTTGGATTATCAATTTTCTACCTTTGGTTTTGCTTCAGTAGTTCATTAAATCGAGCCAAAGTTTGGAGTATTTTTTTCTGCCTCGTGTTCTTTAATCTCCAATTCGTGTAAAAAAAAATAAAAAAATCACGATAGCGATCGGTATAGCGCATGAATGAGAACAAAAGAAGAAAGCAAAGGGGGTACTAATAAGGCCTAGATAAATATCCCGTTAAGGAGAATTTGCGTGAATAGCGAAATTCAAATTTTAGATTAGCGGACTTCAATACAATTTTGTCAGAATATAAATTATTGATTCCTGGAAATCTGCTAAACAATGGTCTTAAAAATCACGGAATTTAGCGAATTAGCAGAAAAAGCTCATGCTTGAAAAAGTCAAAAATGCTAAAAGAAAATTTGTCAAAAGAAATAAAATACCTTCAAAGCATCAGAACAAACTTGAACGATAAATCGATCCAGTTCACGGACTCGAAGAAAAGGGTTTCTCCCTTCATATAGCAACCATAAAAGAGACGTACTATTTTAACAATGTTACAATGAACCAAATTTTGATGTAAGCAAAGTATTGTTAAATTGATGCTATTTCAAGTGTTTGGTAATAAATTTCTGTCCAAAACAAGTGCCTATAACGGATGATAATATAATTTAAATTAAGAAAATTAGTAAATAACTTCAAATTAAAAGAATCAATGAAAGAAAAAAAATTCCAGCTTTTCTTTTTATAATTCCAGGTTTTCCAGATGGTCCACCCCGAGTACAAATAAAAACATATATGTTGACTATATGTAATTTTTTTTTTTACTGCAAACTTTAAATAAAGCTTCCAGTGCCAATGGGCTTTTCTCAACATCAATTGCTTGGTCTTGTGGTGTAAAATAAGGAATAAGATTTTCGGATGGGAAAACTTTTTTTTCTTTTAGCATCATTTCAATTTCATTTGCCATTATTCACAGTCTATCGGGTTTAACGATACAATTTTGAAAACCAACTTTTTTTTAAATAAAGATAATAATTTAGCTTTTAACTGTTAAGAAATATGTTATGCATATTTCAGCATGACAGAGCCCATTTTCATTTTTTCTAGCATTAAGGAATATTAGAATTCCTTTTTGCATTCCTTTAAGGAAATACTTACCGTGGTTTTCAATAAGAAAAACTCCGTACATTTTCCCCAAATGTTGCTTAGAGAGATGATATTTTAGTGCTTAAATTATACTTAAAAAAAATTGATTGAAAAATCAAGTACTTCTTAGTAAAAATGACATCTTCCCTAGAAATTCGGCTTCGAAATTCCTTATATTATATTGATCGAAATAAAAGTGTGTATTGTGATATAATTGAAAATATATAATGCTTTAAAATAAAGGACACTAATTGCAAATTTTAAATTATACTTTAATATTCAAAAGATTTAAATTATTTCATCAAATATACAACAACAACTAAATTCTAACAAAAAAGCATATCAGACACTTTAAATGGCACTTTCTATTTACAAATATAATGTGGAATGGTGATATTGAGTCCAATTTTAATTCACATGTTTTGGTTGCACTGCATTCATACAAGATCTGAACCACCTACATAAATGATAAAAATATGTTATATATTTGAAAAAACTAGAATTTATACATTGATTATTACAAATTAGAGATAAGTAGATAGTGATCACAGATAGAGATTACAAATGAATAAAATTAGATGTACTGATAATTTTGCATTTTTGAAATCTTATTTTCAAGATTTTATTAGTATTAATTGTTTTAAAATTGTGTAAATTTCATTACTTTTTCCCCTGTTTTATAAAGATTAAATAACAGATTCTTAAATGCAAATATTTTACAGGGTAAACAGGAATTATTTTCTTTAAAAAATCTGTTACTGCATTCAATATAATTTTTTAAATCAAACATTGATTATACTACAGGATGCGGCAAAAACCTCAGACAAACAATGTTTAATATAACTTTACTAAAAGTGAATAAATTAACAAAATATAAAATAATAATAAGAGCAGATTTTCACTAATAAATAAATTCAATTTGTTTCAAAGTGGTTGCCTTTTACAGTGATGCAGGGGTGCAAGCATTAATAGAAATTTTCAGCAAAGGGCCACAAGTTTTCTACCTGTAATGAATTGAATTGCAGCCAAAATGATTTCTTCAGAGAGTCCAAAAATTTTTGCGACTTAGTGCAGGCTCTAGTCTCCAAAGTGGACCATATACTGTAATCCGTGAGATTGATATCCGGTGAGTAGAGTGGCCATTCTTCAGATGATAAGTAACTCTTCAGATAGTTCTTCAAATCATGTCCGTAAAATGCACCTGGCACCAATCTTGTGTCTTTTTGACCTTGTGAGCTCATGCAGAGTTTTGTTGTAACATCCAGTTAACATTGCCATGGTACAACAGCCTTTAGAATATCCCACTAGTATACTTATTGATTTATTTAACCACACTCATCCACAAAAACCAGAGGTGTTTTGGCGACTTTCGATTTTGGAGATGTTTAACAATTGCCAAGGTTTTTGGAACGTTTACCGACCAGTCGCTTTGGGAGTTAAGAGCTTGTTGCACAGTAAAGAGTTTGTTGTTTTTGCTGTCTTAAGCCACTGATAAGTTTATTTTAAGACAGAAGGGTGCACTTCTTCGTTTTCCAGTGGCACTATCTATGGTCGAGAATTCGACTTCTGTTGCACACATACAACGCAGTCCCTTTCAAAGGAAGGACACATTTACTCACCATCCATCCATCTGCAGAGCCTAATTTTGACCTAAACCATAGCACGAGCAATCTCCGATCTGCTACCCCCAGAGGTATTGCTTTGTTATTAGATTTTAGGTATTAATTTGTATGGTAAAGAGCTTTCCATCAGTCAAAATGAATATCTTCCAATGCTGACTTGCAGCCCATTGCTAAAAATTTCAATAAGCGTTTGTACCTCTGAATTGCTGCAAAAATCGAACCTTTGAAATAAATTTATTCATTTTTAAAAGTTATATTAAAAATTGTTTGCCCTGGTTTTTAGCCACACTCTGTATTATGTTTTTGTTTGCATTCACTATGAGTGAAATAAATTCCATTATCAAATAGTTAGAGTAGTAATCATTACCAATTTACAATACAAGTATATGAAACCTAATTTTTTAAACTAATGAACATTTAGGCATTCTGAATTTTTAAAAATACTTCCATGAAATAAAATATTGATTTGAAATTTTTTAGCATGGCATTAATTTTGTGGAAAACGACATATAGCTTTTGTTAAATAAAAATGAATCTTAGCTGGCATAACTACTAGCACAAACAGTAAATTCAAAAGACTACTACAAATAATATGTAACACACAATCTCTGATACTGCTTGGTTGTTTGTATAATCATAATATTTGAATTACGCAAACAATTGAATTGAATTTTTATTTCTAGAAAAATTATATAAGTCTAATTATATATAAAAAAATTTTTTTAAAAAAACAGAACTTTGCATATAGGTAGACCTTGAACAGCATATATTATTTCTTTTATAATAGTAAAAGAAGTAAAAACTGCTAAACAAATAGTATTGAACATGCATAAACATAATAGTAAGGCACACTGATAATTACCAAATACGATGATTATTTGTGAAAATTTGTTTTACTAAATATATTATGAATTAAAAATATATTATGTAATATATATTACTAAATATATTATATATTAAATGTATAATCATTCATACATAACATATTTGCAATGACAGAGTACATAATGGCAGAACATATTAACATTAAAGCGAATTTGAGAAAATTGGCTTAAGAATAAATAGAAATACCATCAAAGAAGTTCGCAAATCATCTTTTTCATTTAAGGATAGTTCATTTATATGCTAGACAAAATAAATTAAATTTTATGACTATAATCATAGCTTGTTGTTAAGAGTTCTTTATGTGTTTTTAATGTTTCATGTCACTTATGCTTTTACATTAGGCAACTGCGAACATATTAGTGCATCACAGACCTACAGTGACAACAGCTATGCAATGTATTAAATGTGCATACCTTTCAAATTCCTTTATGACTAGAGATAAGAAAAACTTGGAGTCCCTTTTAGTGGTCCAAGCTTTCTAAAGCCAGCAGGCTTTTAATCTAAATCCACCTGATATAACATGTCAGACAACAGAAAAGATTTTTGTACATATAAGAAATATTATTAGAGATAACCTACTTTAAAATCATGATATTTAACAAATCTCAATTATTAACAATTGACAGTTTTTGATTTTTTTTTTATACTTAATAGCAGAACTTAACAAATTTTTACATATCTGCTAAATTTGAAAGTAGAAAAAAAGCATACAGAAACTTTACCACAAGCCTGAAAATTTCTTTCAGCTTACAACGAGGATCTGGCCAGAACTTGTGCTGAGTTAGTCTCTTTTTTTATTAATAACAACCTTTTTTTTATTCAACTTATCTCCGTTTTAAGTTAATTCTTGAGAGATACATTACCCCTTAACGATCGGTAAATTTTCAAGAAAACGGTCATAAAAGTGCCTATTTTTTTGGCCTTTGTATTTGATTAGTGCTGACATCTAGTTTAAAATAAACTAACTATCTACAATTACCTTAAAAATATCCTGGTACTGCCATCTGGTGTGTAAAATGAAAAATAGAATGTTTTCTGGACAAAAGAAATGAATTAGTTTTATTCTTATAGGTGCGTTACTACTGAACAATATCACGGGAGCAAGAAATTGAGGGCAAAACTTCACCCCGTCATTTTCATGGGAGCGAGAAGGAAGGGGTTAAAGAAAATGGGAATTACTGTGTTTTAAAACTCTGATGTAGAGAAAAAGTTCTGTAGCAATCATTAGCAAGTCAAACCATAAATATTTGAATGAAAAATAATTCAATATACTATTTTGCTACATTTATTTGATTGCAAAATTTGTCAACAAGGATTGTAAAACAGCCTCTTTTTTTTAAGGCAACCTTTTGGAAGGTTAGTGCTTTTATAATAAACCAGCAGAGTTACTCTCGGCTTTGCCACCTTTAGAGTTATGTGTAAGTAACAACTGAGGTAAAACGTTTTACACACCAAATGAGAATTTTAGTTGGAAAATACAATTCACTGTCTTTAATATTTAACACAATTAAACAACAACTTTGGAAAAACAAGAAATGAAAAAGTTTTCCCTTTTCAAAGAAAATATTTATTTCATAAAGTGTGAAGAACATCTTAATAAAACCACCAAAATATAATTCAAACTGAGGAAAAATAGCAATTTAAGTTAAAGTAATAATTTAAGTAGTATTTTAATGTTTCTTAATTAATGTTACTTATATATCCTTCAGCTAGCACCCTCAAATACTTACTTTAGTAATAAATTATAGAGCAGGTTCCTCAATAGCCGCCTCTTTCTGAGTAGCTGCTTTACCATCTTTTAAATGTTCTATGCTATGTTCTTTCTCAGTAGTTGCTTTACCTTCTTGTAAATGTTCTATGGTATTCTGGAAATGTTTATTAATTTGTTCAGTTTCTTCATTTACTTCGAGGTTAGGGAGGAGCTCTTTTATCTCACTCAATAAATGGTTTTTAAGGTTCTGAATCTGAAAAAGTAAAAACTCATACTAATTATATAAGCAATGTGTATTTTGAAGAACACACTCCTTAGATAGTTATTTATAACTATTTACTAACTATAGTTTTTGTAGTAGAAATATTTTCTTAAAATGTCAATTTCATTTTAAGTTTTTAAAAAATAGGACGCAAAGCTAAGCAAAAAATGCTTTTGTAAGACCATTGGTATAGAATAATGCTACAGTGTAAAAAAAAGATAATGTAAGATACATTTCTACAATGTAAAAAAAAGAAGAGATAATTGATTAATAACTATAACATCTAGACAAGGTAAATCACATTTCAATTTAAACTAATTAACATTTAATATACTAGCTTTAAAGTTTCCAATTTTTTTGTTTTGATTGTGATTATTGGGAAACTAACAAGTTTACTTAAAATGAACTTAATGCTGAAAAGTACACATAAATTATAAGAAAATATGTAAACTTTTACAAAAATACTTCCTATTATTCAATCATATTTAAAAATGCAAACATTTAGGAAAAAATATAGAATATTTAAATGCTTTTAGAGGTTTATGTTATAAATATAAAAAGAAAAAACCAATTCATACAAGAATTAAATTTTCTAAAAAAAATATTGAAAATATTTAAATATCTTTAAAAACAATTGTCAAATATTTTTATTAGTTTTCTTTTAAAATAATAAATGAAATTTAGTTTTCAATAACCGGTATTTATATTTCTAACCGGTATTCTTTCAGGATGAACCGATATTTATACTTCTAAGATAAAAGTTACAGGGGGAGAAGAGTTAACATCTTATTGCTTATTTTCAATTTATCACATTATTGGAATAACTTTTATGTCATAAATATTTTAGGAATTGAAAATTTGGTACATTTTCTAATTTAATAGACTAAAAATTTAATTTTTATAACCTCAACAGAAGGAAACATTTCACAAGAGATCAGAATGAATTGCATCTTCAGACCTGATACAGTTCAGAAAATATTTTTGAGTAGAAAAACAAATTATTTGTAAAAATAATAGATAACAATACATTTTTAATGCTATCTGGTTATTCAAGTGTTCTTCTTTTTCTTTTTTTTTTTAATTTTGCACACTGTCATACATTGAATAAAGAAAAATTTTGATTAGCCTAAATATTTCACACATAAGAAATTGTGCAATACTCACTTGTTCATTGCCTTTTTCATGGAAATAAATGCAATGATTAAGAATTTCAACGAGAAGTTGTGCTTGTACACTAGAATCCATACATTGCTTAGCCGTATTTGTACCTTTCTTTAAACATTCTAATACTCTTTTACCATCATGCATCTATGGAAAAATGAAAATTATTACACATTTTGTTAAGTTCAATAAAATACTTAATAAAATTAAGTAATAGTTAATAAAATATATCTGTATTCCAGGGAAGAAGAAAAGTTAAGTGTATAAATTTGTTAGATATCTATATCTTCAATGCAAATTTAGAGGTTAAATTTGCATTGTCTAAACTAATTAGATGACTAACTGGTACAATCCCAAAAATCAATTTTAAAATACATGAGTTTTACAAAGCCAGATAATTGAACGAAGCTAAACAAATTAGATGATTAACTGGTGAAATTCAAATTTAAAATATGACTTTTATAAAAAACCAGCAAACTAAATGAAGCTGCCACACAAATTCTAAATGCCATTAAATTTGCACTAAATACAATCAATAATGCCACTAAATACAATCAATATAGTAAAAATCAAATTATTCGGAATCTGCAGGCCAGCTATCATTTCAGATTTCTAATTATTCTGGCTCACTAAAGAAAAGCTACTGTTTTTATCTGAAGTATTTCTTCTTCAACACGAGAACATAGATGGAGCACAATGCAGTAATCATGTAATTATACATGAATATTTTATGTTTTATTTTTAGTAGTTTAGTTCTCTACCTGTTTGTGTGTAGCAATAAAATTGTTTTTAAAACTGATATGATCATTGTTGAATAATTTTTTTCATAAGAATATTTTACAGCTATCATTATCATCAACAAGACTGATTTTTTATTCTAGATAATGCGTTTCAAATGAAGAATAATAATAGACATGTATGGTTGATTTTACTGAAAGAAATTATTAATAATCCTAAAATGATTATTGATTCAACTTCCACTATGACAAGTATGATCATGCCAATACACCCTCACTCTTGAACACTCTAAATTTTAGGATAATGTGCCATACATAAAAAATCCTTATTTAAATTTGAAAAATGACTCTTGATGTATGTTTCTGAAAAACAGGAGATTTTCTCCACTGTCAAAAACTTTGAATTGAACCATTTATCCTTCCAAAACTGTTATAAAACTTGTCTCCATTTTCTGAATATAAGGTTATGTGTTGTAATATCTTTAAGCCAGTTGAATTGCATAGAATTGACTACAAACATACAATTAATATTTAAAACTTTACATTTTCATAATAAATTGTAATAAATTATTTTATTTTTAAAGTCTGTGTAAAAACCATTTAGAAAGTGCATGATTAAGCAATCTAGTACAGAAATCTAAGAATTCGATAAATTAACAAATGAAGAAAACATATTCTTACTATAGCTATGAAAACGTTTGTAACTGTTATAAGTGTTAACTATTTTCAGAACGGTTATGACAAAAGCTTCAAGAAATTTTGAAGTTGTGCTCGGAACATATATTTACTGAAAAATTAAAAATTTAGTTACTTTTCAAATAAAATGAATTCAAAAAATGGTTGTTTCTGCAAAATATAAAAGAAAACTGACTAAAATATAAAATTTTGACTAAACATACAAATCAAAAGGGCAGTTACAATAATTTATCTGGGCTGATGAAGTAGACGAACATAGGTCAATATCAATAATTTAATAGAAGGCAATGAAATGGTATAAAAAGTAAGGATATAAAATGTATTGCTTCTTTCTAAATTTTGTTATCTTTCCCTAAAAATTCCAATAGCAAAATTCCAATTTAATTTTTAAAAAAATGGCAAACATATTCTAAATTGGACCAAATAACCTTTTATAATTTCTCACTTTATTCCATGTCCATTCCGTTATTGAAAATATGTAAAACACAAGTAATAGGTAGTATGCTTTACATGTATGTAATTAGTTTGTTTTTTCTTTATAAATTTCTTTTTCTGTTTACAAAAAGTGCTAGTAACAATATTCTAATTGAATTTTTCCAAATTGGACCAAATAACCTTTTACAACAACTAGCCATATTTCAAGTCTATCCAGTCATTGAAAATATATATAAAACGCAAATAATAGTATAATCAAATGCATATAATTATACAAGCAAACTGAGCTGAGTATTTATAAATAAACTAAATTCAAAATAAATAAAAAATTTAATTTTCTACAAAAAAACTTTAATAATGAAGGAAACAATAAGATACTAACTTCTTCGCCTTTTGTAGCTAAGTTTTTCCCAGACCAAAACAAGTGTGAACAGACGGATACACCCCGACACTGATCAGGTTTCTTAAGGAGCTTAGAGGTTGCAAGAGCACACTGTGTTCGAAGTGGTTCGTGGTTTTCTGCAGAGAAGCAGGACATCTGTTCTACTGTTGCGATTATTAGTGTTATGGCTGATAGTTGAGCTTTGCTCTCTGATATTTCTTCCTCATACAGGGAAAAAGCCTGGAAAAAAAAACAATGATTTGAATAAGTTAGCTTAATGTTTTTAAACTGATTTTAAACTAGTTATGTAGATTTAAGACACTGTATTTAAAGAAAAATATCATCTACAACTAAAATAATATATCGAAATAAACTTTAAACATATCACAACACGTTTTTAGAGTATGTGATCAATGATTTTTTTTTCCCAATGCCCACCTGGAGAATGACCTTTCATCATAAAGGCAGATTTGTTGGTCACTTTTTCAGGGGCACCATATTAGGTGGGCCAACGCTGCTCCCACAGTAAGGACAGAGAGTACAGAGAATGACAGAACATTTATGCCTTGCCCGGAATTCGAACCCAGAACATTTCCAACGCAAGGCCTGTTCCCTGATCTCTACACTTGCCGGTCGGCATGTGATAAATATAAAAAGGAACAAGGAGTTAATTTAATGGTGGCTATCAATACCAGTCGCATATCCAGAAGTAAATTTAACGTTTTAGGGGCAAAACAATATAATCAATTAATCTGTTACAATTGTGTTAGTGCAATATTTAATAGTATATGAACTATGTGGGAAATGTAAATAACATTATCTATAATAGATCAGCTGAATGGTGATATAAACTAAATCTGGCAGGTAAAATAAAAGAAACACAGATATTTCATAATTTTTGGAGGTTCTCATGGTCTTCCTCTCCATGTAAAGCAAATGCGGGTTAGCTCCATCAAAAAGTCCTCCACAAATGCAAATTTCTTCCAATACTCGATTCAGGAGTTTCCTTGTCTTCTGGATTGGTTTCCAAATTACAAGGACACGGAATTGAACGTTAGTAGTCATAAACCCATAAAAAAAACAAAAGAATGCACTAATTGTTCAAGTATAATTCTTTCATTGAAATCTTTGATTTTAATCTACACTTATATAGCATAGACCTTTCCACCACACCTTTTTGTTCACTTTGTAAATCTGGAGAGAAATTGGGCAGGGACCACCTGCTTCTATGTGGGGCCCTTCATGGACACACTGAGTCCTCAAGATATTGGGAGGCAAGAGAACTTTTAAGGCAATGACTTCGGTCTTCTTTCTTTGTTATCCTATGTACATTTGTATTCATTATTTATTTCATCTTTCTATTTGTACCTTTTTGCCTTGCCATTGGAAATAAAAAAAAATCTTTTTTTATTTTTTTAGAAATTGGAAACATGTTACTAAAAAACTAAATTTAATTTCCTTTTCAAAAGGAATAATTTTTAATTTACTTAATCTTCAGATTTTTTTCTCTCTGAAAGATTTTGAACCCTTTAGAAGTTGTTAATCCCTCAAGGGTAAAAAATATGATAAGTAATAAAAATCATACCTGTGAAACAAATTCATATGCTACTGCTTCATGACCTTCATAACCTATTTGTCCTGAAGCTAAAGCTCCCTGGAGAAACAGTCTTAGAGGAAGCTCAGCCATTTCAGCTTTAATTAATACATTTACAGTTTGAAGACAAAATCTAAATATTTTCTGGCATTTTTTCTCCCAGTTATCATCCTGCAATATCAATAAATTTTATTAGAATATCAATATGCAAATATATAATAAACTCAAATTACTTGAAGAATATACAGAGCCAAAGGAAATAATATTCTGATAATGCATTATTACAATAGCATTGTTTCTATACAAAATTAGGCTTTAATGATTGCATCAAATTTTAAGTAGTAATAATTGCAAGTAGTATAAAACACAATTATATTATGTCTAGGTTTTTCTGAGAGGTACCTATTTTGTAAAAATTTATTCATAATTTGTGAAAATTAAAAATTATATTAAAAGAACAACACAAAAATATAGTAAAAATATGGATTTATCGTTTCATACGGGATACAAAAATAAAATTTAAAAAAAAAATATTTCGTGAAAGTTGAATTTGTGAAGGTACCACTAAACGGTAGTAAATTTGGCCTGAGCAGACCCCTGATTATGTAATACTCCTTATGATTTGGAACAAAAATCATTCCATATTCACCATCAAAAGGTAATGAAAAGAGTACACATTTTGACCAGCAAATTTTCCTGAATATGAAAAAGGTTTTCATTATGATACTATAAAAAATCCACAAATTTTCCAATTGAGAAAACATTTGCAGAATAACTGTTTAAAAAATATTAATTTAGCAAATAAAACACTATAAGGTTTTATTGTAAAAAGATTATGCCAAAATTAACAAAAAAATTTTTTTAAACAAATGGAACACTAACAATGAACAAAAATTTACAAGTTAAAATATATGCACACATTACCTCTTCACTGCAATTCTTGTACCTAAAAGCAAGCTTGTATGCTTGAAATACAATTGGTGCAAGAGTAAATCTAATACGCCTGTTACCACCATTTCCAAAATGTTTCCGAGTTGTATTGAGCATCTAAAATGTGTTTTAAAACCATTAATCATACCATACATCAACCATTAATTAAAACCATACATCAAACTATTAAACTTCTTTAAAAAATAGTTTGAATTAGTAAAGAAATAACTGTATAAATTTAAAAATAAAGGATATAATAATAAAGAGTGAAAATGTTTTAATTTTCAAATAAAAATAATTAGTTAAAGAGTGTAAAATAAATTTAAGCTTACTTTTGAAACATATTTTAATTCGATACTTAGTAAACAGTTTAATAAAATGAGCTTAATTGCTTCCTTTTGCTCCCATAAACAAAGGAGGTAAATTTTAGTCATACATTTATATAAATCGTAGAATGATTTCCGGAAATTTTTCGATTGATCCTTCTAATAACTTTAATGACAAGTTGCTAGTTGAATTTTCACTAATGCTGCACAAATGCAACTAACATAAAAATATTACAACATTTCATTTTTAATTTAAACACGAACAAGGATTGAAAGGTTACTGGAAAAAATTTTTTTTTCCAGATAATAGTCACCCTACATTGATTGCGGAAGTATCTTAAATGAGAAGGGGCTCTCTTCCTCCCTGTGTGTGTATATACATATATATATACACACACATACACCGAAGAGCCATTACATTATGACCACCCTGCTAATAACATGTAGGATCACCTTTAGCCCTCAAAACTGCTAACACCGGCCGTGGCATTGATTCCACAAGGTGCTGATAGGTAGTCTGAGGTATCTGGTACCAAGTGCTCACCAACTGGTCCTGCAATTCCTTCACACTGCGAAGGGGTAGCGTGGCAGCACGAATTTGGTTTTCCAAGTAGGACTCTCCTGATTCCGATCAGATATTTCTCATTAGTTGTAAAACCAGAAACGGTTGACTCAAAAGATTTTTTTTTAAACACATGTATCTCAAAATCATGATTTAGTAAAATTTATGCACCATAAAAAGTTTAAATTAGCAAAACAAAATGTAACCAATAGTTGAATCAAATAAATTTAACACTCACTAAAAATTGCTGATCAGGAGACTCTGCTTGCAGAAGATTGATGAACCTGCCCATCAGACCTTGCTCTTCAGCAAAATCTTCTGGATCATCTTCCTCAGACGGCTGATCAGATTGGTCTTGAATCAAGGGTGAAACTAACTGCAAAATCTGTTCAACCTAATAAAGAAAAAACAGAAGATCAGTTCTTAATTAAGTACATAAAAGAAAAATATACTTTAAAAACTTAAAAGAAAACACTCAAATCAATTCTATTGAACTTTATTTTCACAGAAAATTTGAGCAAATAGAATTAAATTTTGAACCAAAACATAATCCCCATAAAATATTTAAATTATAAAAAAACAGTAAAAAAAAAATTACAACAAAAATACTGTTTTTGAAATTGCATCAAAATTTTCACTAAACTTAAATAGACAATTAATCCATAATATTAAGACCAGCATGAGTTAATCAGTTTTAAAAATTTTGAAACAATTTAACTCAAAGCAGAATTTCACACTCAAAAATTTTAAATTTTCCAAAAATTTCAGTATGGTTTAGGTTTAAGTGCATATACGCTGAATTTTTAAAAAATTATTCTGTCAATAAGTGAATAATAACGACAAAAGTTTTACGGCATAAATACTACATGTAAATCAAAAAATAATGATTATTGCTTTCAATGAAAAAAATACATAATTTTTTAATAAAATAAAATTGCGATTAAGTTATTTATACTTATACCTCAAGAAAAAAATATACGTGAAAGGAAACATTATTTTAATAATACAGACATCTGAATTTTCCTCCATGGAATTTAATAAATTCATTTTGGAAATATTTGAAATAGACAAGACAACAACACATCTGAAAGCCATATCTTAAGTCTGTCCAATTGTAATTTTGCTGTTAATTGCTATCACGGATTTCTAAGTTCAAGTCTTTTAATTCTTACTCATTTAATACATTTTAGCTGGATTTTAGATTGCAACACCTTTTCAGGCATAATATTGCAAAAAAAA